CTCGTCATTCAGCTAAGTCTCATTCGTTTACTGTATCTGTCTCTGCATGCTCTAAAAACTTTTATTCATCTAGTTTTTTTCCCCGCACTTCAATCCTTTTGAAACTCTCTCTCATCTTCATGTTTTTCTGACTTATACAACCTTCAACTTTTTAAGTCTTCTGTTAACCGTTTCCTTGCTCTATAACTCTGTTCTTTTTTTTTACTAGTAACTCCCAACTTAATAGTGGTTGCTCGCAGCCTTGTTGGGAGTGAATGCAAATAAAAAATATATATATATATTCATTCAATCATCAAGATTTTAGTTCATTCTCTACATATATATGTATTGAACAATTGGAGAAAATTTGGAGGACTAAGCATTTTTTAATGTTGAGATATCGTGTTTTGAGTTGATAAATTATGGTAAAAAATTCATTTTTAGATATATCGCAAATAAGTAAAAAAACATCCCTTTTCGTAGCTATTTTTTGATGATTGATCTTGAACTTTATCAATCCAACCTTTCCTAAATATTTTCTTCTTCTTTTTTTATGTGGTTGGCCTTTTTTTACTATATTTTTTAACCTCTTTTGGTCTTTTTTTACTGAACTAGTTATCGTATTTTTTCCCAAGTCTAGATATAAATGTTTAAATACACGATAAATACCAGATAAACCTTGGTTAAAAGAAAGAACTGCTGAGTTTACTCACATTTCAAGAACATCAGTCTTTACATAAACATTTTTAGGGCATCGAGACCAGATGATATTATTTAGTCTTTCATTACAATTTTGAGTTTGCCCATGAAGACATTTTTTTAATAGATCATTGTTACTCAATTCATCAAAGTCTTTCTTGATAAATTCATAAATCCATTCAGGCAAGTTTAACTTAGGAGAATAGTTTTCATCTGCATCTGCATTTTTACTTTTTTTCCACTTGCACCAGCTATCTGGACCAATTAGGCAAAGAATATGTCGATGCGATTTGTCTTCAAAATCAGTATAATGGCGCAAAACAGCTTTTATGTTTTTTTTCATTTGATACACTTTTTGCTCATCAGTTAAATTTTGTTTTGCAGCTGTTTGCCTGATAGCAATACCAAAAGCATTCTGCAATGTATTAACACTTGCTTCAGTTAGCCTCCGCTTACCAGACAATTTTTTATCGCCATATGACACTTTGCGTCGACTTCTCAAACGTAAACCTATTCTTTTTTGAACATGTCCAACACATTCTAATTTTTCAGGTATAATACTAAAAACATCATATGGCTCGCTTGCATCAACATTATTAAAAGAAGAAGAATCACCGTCTCCCAGATAGTATTTGTAAATTAAACCATATTGCGAGAGAGAACGAGAAAAAATATCAACTGCATCAACACTCTCCATGGCTCCTGACGACTTGGTATGATTAAGACTACACTTGTGCTTTGCTTTCCATGTTTCATATTTTGTAGAATCTTTTTTATTTGTCCAAATTTGACAACCTCTAAAATATTTACTCATTACTTGTACATCTAAACATTTGCCTCCACATATGGCTGTAACAACTCCATTTAATGAAGTGTGGCCTCGTGTTTGCCAAGAACCATTGGTAGCAACTTCTCCTGTGTTAAGTTTTTCTTTTTACTCTTGTTTAGCAGTAAGAGCAGCCTCATTCATTGATTTTTCTGAAGCAAATTTGTATGTTTCTTTAACAGTTTTACTTATATTGTCAAAAGCATTTACAGTTAAACATGACATGTTCATAAGTCGTGAAAAATTAACCATTGGTTTGTTTCATTTTCCAATTTCACGGAATCCTATTTCCATTTTTAAGTTAACATCAAACATGTTTTTACCTTTTTTATTATTTTAACTATGTTTGAAGTAAAATTACTGTATGTAAAAGAACATTGAGCATTTGTACATGTTAAAATAAATTTATGGGAAAAACCCATTCTGCTAGAATAATCATCTGTGATGTTAACTTTACTTTTACACTCAGGACATGCACAAACTAAATCAAGTAACTGTTTGATAAAATTAAAATTAACAAGAACAAAATAATTATTTGTGTTGGCATTATTTACATTTTCGACATCAAACTTTAACTTTTTAGCACTGATACATGAAACACTTTCAGACAAGTTGCCAGTTACATTCGTATCTTTAATACATTGTGTGTGCTCATTACCACTAAATTTTCTCTTCTTAGATCTTGAAGTATTCTTATAATTACCCATTATATATTTAATTTATTAACCTAAAAAAAATATTTCCAGAAAACATTATATCAACACAACTTGTGTTAGTACAATGGTTTTGTCACAGGAAGTGAGTAATTAAATGATCAATTTGAGTAAGTAAAACGGTTTTATTTTAAAAACTCAACGTAGTTAGCCTCTAAACTAAATCTTTTGTAATTACATAACAAGAAAGCATATCAAAACAGTGGTTAAACAAAAGTTTTCATACTGTTTTTTTCCGTTGCTATAGGCGTTGCTAAGGAAGCTACTTTATGGCATACCTGCAAAATGCAAAATAGTAGCCTAAAAAATTTAAATTATTAAAAAATAATTGTACTATCATTTTCAGCAATGTTTAAATTCTCTAAAATCATATTTTTCAAATAAAATTTTTTTTTTTTAGATTTTGCACTTTTTATTTCCTGTGAAGCCACCAGAGCTGAAGCTGTCAGAGTTCTAACAAGTTTGAAAAAAAAGTAAAATCGAAAAACAAAGATTCAATAAAGTGAAGTTTCCCGGTTGGCTGTGAAAATAATCTTAACATGCGCGTTCATCAAATTTACATAGATGCTGAAAGTTTCAGACCTCTAGCTAGTTCCAGACCTCTAGCTAGTTCCAGACCTCTAGCTAGTCTTAAAGGTAGTGAAAAATCACAAGATTGCGACAACTGATAACTTGAAAATTGAAAAAAAAAACAACAAACACTGCCCATATACATCAGAGTAATACCTTAATTATTACCCAGAAGTGCCTTCAAACAGGCGTATCTCAAGATAAATTTTGAGATAGATATCGTAATGAATACGCTACCTGTCTCAAAATTTATGTTAAATCAACATGAATTGACTTTTCTTTGAAGTAAATAATATAACTCACATTTTACTTACTTACAAAAGTAAGTAAAAGTATACAATTTCGAAGACAAAATTGAAGAGTTTATTGCTAAATATACTGAAGTCAAAAAAAGTATTTTGAGAAAATCTACTTTGATCAGAGATATAACACTTTAAAATGAGGGTTTAAAATGATCATAGTAGAGTTTCTCTAAAAAAATTATTTTATAACTTAAATACTTTTAGCACTCAGCTCTTCAATTTACTTTTATTTGTAATTGTAACAACAATTTTTTTTATGTAAGCTGTCTTTGCTAATTAGTAACTTTTACAGGTATAACTAATTTATTTTTATGATGTAGTTTTATTTCACTTTGTAATGCAAGTGTTATGTTTTTTAAATACTATAATTGCGTAAGATTAATTCATTTTTTACAAATAAAGTATAAATTACATTTCAATATAAACCGTAATTAATTTTAACCAAAATTACTTTTCAAAGTAAATTACTTTACGCGACTTACGATTAAAAGTAAATTGCATTTGCAAGTAAAAGTAAACAGTTTTTTAATGCAAATTACTTTTACTTGTCAAAATAAATTACTTTTTCAAGTAACAGTTACGCATTTAAAAAAGTAAACTTAAGTTTACTTTAAAACTCACCCCCCCTCCTCCCCTAGAATCTGAAAGTCCTAAATTATCTTAGAAATGAAAGACCTTTTTATTTTTTTTAGGAGAAACAAATGTGATACAAAATACAAAAATTTTTCAACATCCCCCCACACTCCCCTCAGACACCAACACCAAATAGTCCTGGATACGTCACTAATATTTGACCTTTTAATTTAATGGGAGTGAAAATCTTTCTATAATTCTCAGAAAAAACGAGCATTAAACACTTGTAGAAAGTACTTGCCTGAAATGATTATTTATAAATCTGGATTTACGTCTGACTATATTTCTCAAGCTAGGAAAACACCCTTAAATACTGATTGCAGTTGTTCTTGCGAAGGATAAATTTTAATTTTAATTTTTGTCAAGCTAGGAAAACACCCTTAAATACTGATTGCAGTTGTTCTTGCGAAGGATAAATTTTAATTTTAATTTTTGTCAAGCTAGGAAAACACCCTTAAATACTGATTGCAGTTGTTCTTGCGAAGGATAAATTTTAATTTTAATTTTTGTCAAGCTAGGAAAACACCCTTAAATACTGATTGCAGTTGTTCTTGCGAAGGATAAATTTTAATTTTAATTTTTGTCAAGCTAGGAAAACACCCTTAAATACTGATTGCAGTTGTTCTTGCGAAGGATAAATTTTAATTTTAATTTTTGTCAGACGTCTCTTTTTAAATTCTACTGCAAAACAAAACAAAATAAAATTTATACGGAAAAAAAATCTTGCAAAATAAAACCGTATTATAAAACAAAAAGGGTCAAAAAACAAAATAAAACACAAACGATCTAAAAAAATTTACTAAATAACTCAAACAGAAGATCGCTATGATTAAAACATAAGTTGTTGCTTAGTTTTAGGCAAATCTAGGATTTTCACGCACTGCTGTCTACTATTTAGTGAAAACGGTTACCTTCACCATCTTTATTTAAAATTTAGTAACATAAAAAAGATTGTTAAATACTTTGCACAGTTTTCTAGCTATAAGCAGTGAAAATTAAACGCATCTGTACACTTTAGGTAGGCATTGGCACACACCCCATATTGTGCGCTCAGTGAAACCAGGATTCTTGAAACAAAATTAATAAATCCAGATCACCAGGCAACAATAAACTATTTTTTTTTAAGTCGTTCAAATATCTTAACTACCTTAAATGTGAAATTTTGTTTTTCATTTGTCTATTTCTATCATTAGTTTATTGTGCGTTAAAAAACCAAAAAATAATTATATATTTGTCAGGAGTATATAGATTTAGTTTAAAAAAGGAAAACATCCCTCATAATAAAAATCTAAAATTTTTATATAAATTAACTAAATAATAGTTTTGTCTCTATTTCAGTTTATGGTCGTAGCGTCGTTCAACATGTTTTCTTTTCTAGCAATTAGTTATTTTTGTTATTGTATAATTGTTATTACAATGGTTTTTAAAGTTGGTCTAGTATAACAAAATTGCACTTTTCTTATTGCAACGTCAAATTCGTGTTTATAGTTTAAACAATTGTTTTCTAGTATAATTCAAACGTCGTTGGAGAACTGTTTAAGAAGTGGGTGAATCTTTTACAATAGACTTCCTTTCAAATTTAGATTTTGTACCATCAAAGCACATTTTCATAGCACGATCGGGAGTGGTATCGTCAATAGAAATAAATGATGGAAAATCAGTAGGTTTTCCTCTAGGACTATTTAATTTTACTACAGGTATCAAAGCTAGATCTGTAGTATTTACTTCGTTGAGATCTAAAAAGGTTGGTTTTTGGGGTTTTATGTTATCAGATACACATGAATTATTTTCATCTTTCTCTTGCAATAAAATTGTTTCGGTTTTAAAATCATTTGTGATAGTACAATTTTTTGATTCGCTGAAAAATCTGCGGGCAGTTGGTGACCTACAGACTAACTTTGGTGACACAAAATTATTTTTTTTATTAATTAATTGGTTACTTTGTAATTCCTCTTGCAAAGGGGTATTGTTTGATAAACATTCTGTACTTAGTAGCATTGTTTCTTGATTAGAAATATTATCATCAAGTTTTAAATCAATTGAATAGTTTGATTTACATGATTGACAGGTTCCGGTGCCAAAACAATCGCATTCTGTTAAAGCATCGTTTTCTCCGTAAACAGATTTAGTGATTTTTATATTTTTGTCTTTGCAAGAAGTAGTTAAATTAAAAATCAGCGTGTGCAAGTTTAAAGGTATCATCAATACGCATACCCGTATTACTGCAGTAAGTTTAAACGAGAACAAGTTAAAAAATGGTAAGGTCACAGTGTATCCAGCCACCCAAATAAAGAAACTAAAAAATATCAATGCAAACAAAGAACTTTCTACTTCATAATAATGTTCCATGAAAAACGGGCAGTCATTTTTTTTCCGACGAAATAAGTGAAAAAGATATTTTGCAACAACCAAAAACAAAATAGCGTAGTAAGAGGTTTCGACAAGCATTAAGACTTTATCCATATTCGATGTTGGTGTAATTATGCAACAAAGAAAATCCCAATCATCCATTTTGACCCAGCTCATAATAGAAAAAACTCCTGAAAGCATGACTCCTTCTAAAACGAAGACGACACCTTTAAATACAGCATCTCTTTCACCTGTTTCAGTGCTGGATTGCCGAAGCGAAAAATGGAAAGAAAGCATTACAAGTGAACATATACATGCACCAAGTGAAAAAAGTTTTAATGAGGTTAAACCTTGACAAAAATGCATTTCTGAACTCCATCCTTTATACAAATAAACGGACATTATTATCCCGTAGCATGCCAATAATATGCTAAACATCATCAGAAAAAAACCAAGAGTATTTATCAGGTTTACTGGTTTATATAAACAAATTCGTAAAAGAAATATCAAATTAATTAATATGGCTAAAATACTAAGTGAAGCTGTTGTAATAACTAATGGAAAACCCCATTTAAGTTGCATAACGGATTTATCAGGACTCTTTGTTTTATTTTTGTAAAAGTTTTCTATTTTAGCAGTTGAAGAAGGTATGCAAATTTTGCATAAACACAAGTGCAAAAAGTCAGCGGATTCAATGCAGTCTGCACTGCAGTTGTCGACCTTTGTTTTGTTAAATACCTTATAAACACATTCTTCTGCGTCGTTGATTTTTTTTAATGAAGTTAAATGAGGAAACCATGTTTTTAATAGTAAAAAATCAGCTTTAGAATTTCCACATTCGGTCACAAATGGAACCAATGCCGATATATTAGTATCCAGATTGAACTCACAAGGATTTGAACTAAAATAAATTTTAAAACATATATTAAAAATGAATAATCAAAGTTTTGCCTTTTATCTAAAAAGTAATGGTTATAAGCGTAGTTGTTAAAACGTCAGTATTGGTCACTGTGTAAACGGTTGATTTTTTAAGATTGTGGGGCCCTAATGACGGCACTGTACAGCACTTTACACACAAAAAAAATGTACAAGCAGACGTATGTGTATATAAATCATTGAACAAATAAGATGTTGTGCAAATAACTATTATACAAATGAGATGTTGTAGACACAAATAACTGTTTTAACTAAAACCTAGTACCAGAGATATTGATTTTGTGTAGATATTTGCATAACGATAAATCAGAAGCCATTGTTAGTAGAATAAATACCTAAAACTTGTAAAATTTAAAGTCTAACTTACTTTAAAACGTCTCACTTACTCTAAAAAGTCAAAAAAGTTTAACTCTTTTTTAAATTTAATAAAAATTTTGAAAAAATAAAATTTGAAGTCAGTTACATAATTACTGCATACCTTATCTTTTTCAATTTTTTTCTAAATTTCTAAAGCTAAAATTTTATTATTCTTATCATCGATATCAAAATATTTTAAATAATAACAAATTTCAAAAAGAAATGCTGTTTTTTGAAAATTGAGGAAAACAATATTTTTTACATGCCATTTACTTTTTTTTAACATTCTAAAATATATCTATTTTAGAATGTTTTTGTTTGTTAAAAATGCATCTTTTTAAAAGGAATTTAATTAAATTTTTATAAATAAATATTTAATATAAATTTACTTTTAATGTTATTTTATTCCTATGTTATATTATTTTTATTGTTAACAATATTAAGGGAAAATTGTTACCTGTAAAAGATAACAATAAACACTTATTGAGTGAATATACAGATATAATAATATATAGACCAAATGATGCTAATTTTATAATAATGCATAATAATATATTAAACCAAATGATGCTAATTTTATAAAATATATCGCTGAACCCTTCAAATTAGGTTGTAGCTTAATTAGGAAGTCCTATATCTGTTTGATTGTCGGTGGTTTTAACCTCTCGGAAATAAAGTGGTTTAATAATGGTAGTAAATCTTTCACCTCAATCAGTTTTACTGAGTATGATTTTTGTAATAGGGTAGATTAGGGCAATATGAGCACTTTAAGCAAAAATTAGAAAATTTTCAAAAATAATTAAACTGGATCCAAAATTTTTGCGAATAAACAACTTTTAGGGATCCCTACTTATAATCCATTTAGATATTTGGACACCTGAAATTTTTTTAAAAAAACACAGAGATTTTAAAACAATAGCAAAAGTGCTGGTATTACCCAGACCACTTGGTAATATGAGCATTTTAAATTAGCTTAAAAAAAATAACATTAATTAAGTAAAAAATACCAACCTGGCAATTAGAACTAATTTTTGGAATACAATGATTTGTTATTAACAAAACTTATCATTAAAAGATCAAATTTTAAGCCTCTTTTTGTTGAAACAATACTGCTATGTTTTCCGCAAAAACAAATTAGTTTGTAATTTTTTCAAATTTCTTAACTGAAACCTTTAAACAAAAATATTCAAATTTTTTTGAATGTAAATTACAGGAAAATATTTAGAATTGTTAAAATATTAAAAAATTTTTACTATGTTTTGTTTTTATTTAAAAAGCAATTAAAACCACTGCTATTTTAGGACTTTAAAATAAGTAATTTCAATGAAAAACACTGGGTAATTTGGGCATGCTCATATTACACAAAAATGGTATCTTTAAATAGTAAATAGTAAATTAATTAGTAAATAGTATAATAAAAAAAGTCAAAACTAAATGTTTCTATGAATTGCTTTTCAAACAAAAATGAATTGGATTTTTAGCTAACATATTTTTCTTTATGAAAAAATCAACTTCATTATTTTAGCACCAAAATTTCGGGTCACAGATTTATTCATGCGTGATGATATTATTTTAACAACGCAAAAAATTTAACATTGTTTTAATTAGATGATAGCCGCTAATTACTGCATATAAATTTACGCTAATTCTACTGATTCCTGTTATCACCACATAAAAGAGATTCAAAAAAATACAAAGCAACTTTAACTTCACTGCTTACATCTAAGAAATCTTTAATTATGCTCGTATTACCAAGGTGCTCATATTACCCTAATCTACCCTATTTACCAGAACAGTCTCTTCACTCAAGATTATATCTTACTTTCTAGACATCCTAGGGTTTCTCAAACAATATGTTGGACTTGTTATTTACCAACAACAGTAATTTGATTTTAAACTTGTCTCCAAATATTATACTAAGTAATAACACAAAGGTTACTATATATAGTACCACTATAATAGTATCACTACAATAGTACCATATGGAGAGTCAAACGGTTGAAAATCGTTTCCCAAAATTAAATATTAACTGTTAAGATATAACAAAGGTGACTGCTATTCAATATCAATCTTTATTGCATTAATTGACTGGGATATTTTATTTTCACATAAAACCACAAATCTTTAATTTACTAATTTCTAACTATCGTACTGTTTGCAAATGTTTACCTTCAAAATTGGATCAATTCAAGATTGATTAAATAAATGGCAAATTCCTAAAATAAATTACTTACTTTTTAGAGGCAGAAAAATAGTGTACGAAAGCGTATATGGGAGAAGGAAGGAGAGGGGAGGGGGGGAGGCAGAAAGCAACGCTTTGCAATTAAAAATACCAGCTCTGTTTAGGTTGATGTTATCAGTGGTGTAACTCAAGGTTCTGTTCTAGGCCCACAACTCTTCAATTTTTACACAAACAATCTTGCTTAACTCACAGAAACTTCTGAGATATTTGCCAATGACACTAAACTTTTATTTAAAACCTTTTCGCAGTTTAATCTCTGATCTACAGTACTGTCTACGCTTGGTATAAGAGTGGTCAAACACTTGGTTAATTGTATTAAACATTTCAATGCTGTGTTGTTCATTAAGGTCAAACCGACCCTGGTCACTTATAACAGGATGTTTCCCCATATATAATGTACCCATGATATGTACGAGAAAAAACCCCACGTATATTTAAATGTAGGGGAAAATACCCTATGTGTATTAAACAAAATATGTATATTTAAATGGCTACTATAAATATATATGGCTATACTATCTATGGTTAACTATAATAATATTAACAATAATAACTTATACGAATCAATTTTTTTTTTTTTTTTTTTAAAAAAAGTTTAATATTTTTTAAAGTCTTCCAAAATATGTTGCTGTTATCCAAATAAAAAACGTTAACATTACTTTCACAATAATTACTTAGCTTCAAACAATGTTGTCTCATTTAACTTCAAACAATGTTGTCTCATTTAACTTCAAACAATGTTGTCTCATTTAAACATTTCGTATCATTTTGTTGAAAACACACAAGCACACATGCAAGCAGTTTGAAAGTTCTTTGTATGTAAGTTGTAAGTAAGTTGCAAGTAAGTTGGGTAAATTAGTTAAATAGAATAAAGAGTTTATTTTAAATTTACTTGCAGAAAATTGCAAAGAAATTCGGCAGTAATTTATAAAAATTCCAAATAAATCAAGTACCAACACAAACAAATACTTACAGGTGTTCTAAATTTACCGAAATATTGATAGGTTTTGTTTCGTTTGAAAGGTTGATAGGTTTGGTTTCGTATGAACTATTTTCATGCGTAGCACCATAGGCGTAACAAATAGAAAAATTTCCTTCGATACAGTTGCAATGAATCTGACAAAATCCATCAGCAAAGCGCAAAATTATTACATTGATTAAAATAACTATTGACACTTGTATATATATCATACTAAAAAAAAAATTTATTCAAATAACTTTGTTACAATTTTTCTTTTTTCACTTAAGAAGTTTGTAAAATAACACTGATTACATAATACATTGGTTACATAATTACATTGGGCGGTTTACACGATTCTGCTTTCTTGTTAGTTTTACTCGAGAACTATTTAATGAAATTATTATTTAAAAATTACTTATCATTTGAAATTTTACTTAAAACGCAAATTTTGCTTGTACAATCAGAAAAAAACCAATAAAATTGCTATTACATAACAGTTTTATTGGTTTTTGTAAATTGAAATGTTTTTTGTACTTTTTTCATTTTTGGCGAGAACCTTACGAGAACACCACGCCTATAAAATCAGGTTATTAATTGATTTCTTCTCTGCAAAACAATAGGAAATTCTTTTCCACGCTTTGCGAAAATTAACAGAAGATAACGTTCTTTTGTAATTTATATTCATAAAACCACATTTTAGTTGTTTTGAACGACCAAGTTGCTTAGTGTGTCTATGTAAAAAATCTTGACACTTAAATACTAAAAACGTTAAAAAACTGTGTTAAGCGTAAAAAAAGGTTTTTAAAAACAAAATTGATATTTGCTTTTTTTTTTTTTTAATTTTGTTTATGTCTTTCTTTCCTACTTTATTTCATAATAAGATCAATGATAAAAATTTAAAATTTTACTGTAATTTTTATATTTTATTTTATTTTGCACAACAGCTTGTTTTTATAGTAATCTAGTAGCAAGTGTATTTATTACATAAATAATAAAGATAATAGAAAGAAATTGTAGTTTAATTTTTTGAATATTATAATCAGATAAAAATAGATAAAATAAAGAAATGTATAAAATAAGCTTACCTTGATTTAAACAGGTTGTTGATTTTTAAAAAATTTTCTTGTAAAAAAACAAGAAAAACATTTTCAAAACATTTTTTTGTAATGAAGTTTATCCTGTGACATCTGGTTAATGTTAAAAAAAAAACTCACTGTGTCTCTCAAATAAATTCTATATTTAAGATAAAGTTAAATCAATGATTCACAAAAACTTTTAAAGGATTGTCATCCCCTATCATGATCCCCTATCATTTTTTGACCTAGTTCAAAAACAATACAAGAAGAAATGTTTTCAAAATAAAAAAATCCAGAAAAGAAAAAAGCGAAAAGAACGGTTTTTATTTTCTCTATAAATTGTATGTTAAACACATTGGAGTTGCCAGCTGCTCTACATTTTCGTTCCTTCGTTTTTACATCTCAAATAAAAAGAAAACGACAACGCGTGGTATTTATAAAAAAAAGTCTTTTAAAACAGTAATAATAAAAATATATTAATAACATAATCATTTATTACATCAAAATGTTTAAAAAAAAAGATAAATATTTTACAATAATAATATAACAATATAAATAGACAAATTAGTACCTTAAAATTTTTACGTAAAGTTATAAACGTATTGTTATTACAAAACTCAAACTATAATAAAATAATTTTATATAGAAAAAAAGGCTGATCAGATTTATTCAGGAGTTTGCAACATATCCAGCGCCTCCCTAAAGTTACAACAAATTTCTTTTATTATTAAAATTTTAATTTAACAAGACAAAAAAAACAAAAAAAAAACAGCAACAAAACATGTGCGAGGTTTGCGTATGTTTTTAGATCTAATCTAGTAGACTGAATTAAAAAAAAAATGCGTGGATTGTTCCGCAAATAATTAGTGAATTTCAACGCAATAAAAATATCTTTTATTAGGTATGGGAGCCATATTTTTTGCTCATACTAAGCAGGTAGGGGCATGTCAATAATTCATAAAAATTTATTAGCATTTTGATTTTTATTCTTTATAATGAATGATTACAGCGGTTGTAGTAATATTGTAGCAACATTGCAGCTATTATTGTAGCAACAGTACGCACAACAAATGGTGTATAAACCATGGTTACCAGCGGTGGGCTTATAAGCATAAGTAATTTAGGAAAAAAACAACTAAGTTTTTTTTTATATTCTTATGAACAGATAATATCATTTAAAAAAAGAGAGAAAAGTTGACAAATAGTTATCTCTTTTTTTTTTACTTACATTTACGTAACTTTATTACAGCTTTTTTCCAATAAACCTCTCAAATGTTTTAAAATCGTTGAAAACATGCAATTCTAATTAGAGAACTACAAAGGTTGCTAATGGCTACGTTTGTGCAGGGTATAATGGTAAAGTTTTGTTCTGGGTATAATGGTTACGCTTGAACCATACAAAATAAGTATTATTTTATAAAATAAAATTTTTTATTAATGTAGATTTAATTTTTTATAAATTTAAACAAATTAAAATCGTATGAAACACGTGCTTAAATGAGATTCACCTGCAACTTTAATGTTCATTTTTTTTTCTTTAATTTATTTATTTCTGAAAAAAAAAAAAAAAAATTGAAGCAAAAAAAAAAAAAAATTAAAAGTGTGAGCGATGATTATAAAAAAAAAATCTTAAATCTAATATATATATATATATATATATATATATATATATATATATATATATATATATATATATATATATATATATATATATATATATATATATATATATATATATATATATATATATATATATATATATATATATATATATATATATATATATATATATATATATATATATATGAAAACATTTATATACATATAAATGTTTTCATTCTTAAATAATTTTCTGTTGAAAAAAGATTTGTTCTTTGGGTAATCTAATTGTATATATATATATATATATATATATATATATATATATATATATATATATATATATATATATATATATATATATATATATATATATATATATATATATATATATATATATATATATATATATATATATATATATATATATATATATATATATATATATATATATATATATATATATATATATATATACAATTAGATTACCCAAAGAACAAATCTTTTTTCAACAGAAAATTATTTAAGAATGAAAACATTTATGAATTGATTAACATGGGTATAAAACTCCACAATAGCTTAAACCGCCATTTTACGTATTGGATTGCTTAACTTTTGTTTAAAATAAATTTGGTCTTTTTAAGACATCGTTTTGTTTCACCGAGAAAATGCGTTTCTAAATTGGAACACGTTGATTCCTATATTGGAACGTATTCTTTTATAAAATACAGTAACGTTAACAACCTTACTGTAACAATTAAAATGGTTCATTAAAAAACTACAACAACAACAACAACAACAACAACATCAACAACAACAACAACAACTTGAAACTAAAATTAAGATTTCTTGGACAAAATAAAAATCTACGGTAATAAATTGTACAAATACTTTAACTAATATAATGTATCTTATTTTAAAAAATACAAACTTTATACTTTTTAAAATAAGAAACATTATATTAGTTAGAATATATGTATTTTATACTATAAACTACTAAAAAAATTGTTATTTTTAAGATTTATGTAGTTACTTGTTCTGTCATCAATTACCATTGGGTGAGTGATAGTCAATGATAATCAATGGTAAATTTATTATTTTTTAAAAAACCCTTAAAACTCACGCGTGTTCTACATTTAAGTGCATTAGCTTATATTACGTGTACTAGTTTTTATTACGTAATCATTTGTTACAAGTAATAGTTTTATTTTGGAAATACTTTTACTCATTAAAAAGAAAGCTTAAAACAGTTTAAAATTTAATTAAAACGGTTAGCACTGGTTACAATCTATAAATAGTGAATTTAAATATATTTGGTTTTAAGTTTTTTTTAAATTGGTTTGTATTTTATTTAAAAAATATTATCAAGTTTTTTCAACTTTATAATGATTTGATAAATTAATCTTAACTTGATGTAATAAATTAACTTCTAATGATAACAAGTAATGAAGCACGAGTAACAAGAAGTGAAGTAACAAGACTGGGTTTAAAACTATTTTATAAAACAAATTTCATGTTACATGTAAAATTAATTTACATAAAGTTAATTCAAAAACTGGGAAACTTCTACTTTTAAAAAATGATTTATTTGTACGAGCAAAATAGAGGTAACTTTTACTTGAAAATTATTTTTTAAAGTATTTTACTGAAAAAATTTACCTTAAAAAGTAAACCAGATTTAACTTATATAAATAACTTTGATATGTTATTTACTTTATATGTAAAAGTAAATTATTTATTAAAAATAATTTTAAATTAAAGGCCCCGACAACCTTCTATTAGTCTATTCTAGACAACAGATTTCTGAAAAGATCTTAAATTATAAATAAAAAAATAACGTTTTATTTTTCTCCGCGATTGTTATTAACAACAACCACGTGGAATAAAAGGTTGTTAATTCAAAATTTAGAAAAAGATTTTTTTTTTAAATTCTAACTCGATGAAAAGTCTAAAATATGAACAAAGAACTAGACAATGCTTCAAGAAAAAGCTAAAAAGTTTTCACACTTTTAAAACAAATTAAAAATCAAACATAATTTGATAATTATGGATAACGTATACAGATGTTTAATTTAGTTTATTATGCTTTTTACATTCTATAAATATATATAAAAAAATCAATGTCTGGAGCAAGTAGACATCAGTGAGCCTTATTTACTTCATTTGAAACATTGTTTACAAATCCGCAACATAAAAAATTGAAATACAAAAAAAAAACAAGCGAAAAAAACAAAGTATATAAATATAAACATGAAAGAATGTAACTAATACAACATTTAAATATTTAACACACAAATTAAAAAATTAAAAAAAATTAAAAAAAACTACCCTCCTCCTGCCCTCCTTAATTTTTTAATAGTTAAAACATTTACACAAACCTATAAAAAACAACTAAAAGTTTTGTCTTTCAAAAAGTCTCACTTTCTGAATTGAGTCTCTTCCAAAGCACTTGCGTCTTCCAAAGCACTTGCGTCTTTTTTCACTCTTATTTTTAAGTTTTATCAAAACTCCATACCGTTAATAGAAATTTTCAGAAATATAATTGTGTCGGCCTACAATTTGTAAAATATCATAATATTCAGTCAGAGATTTTATTTTTTTTGGAACGAAGCGGTCTAAACAATGGTTTTGATAGCCAATACAATTTTAGACAGGCGCTAGGAATGGTTTTAATCAACAATATGATCTTAGTCCAAAATTGATTATTGATATTTTAAAGCAGGACAAGAGCGAAACGCCCAAAAGCGTCCAGACCAATTGTCGCCCAAAACAAAATACACTTGGCTTTACTGGAAGTTTTTCTTCCAGTAAAGCAAAGTGTTTTTTATAAAACAGCGAAAACCTGAGCAAATTATGTTTTAAAATTAAGAGTTTAGTAAATTAGATAAAAGAGCCATCTCATACTTAACAACTACAATAAGAAAAATTAGATTCAGTATTTTTATAAGGCAACGTTCTTTTATCTTTACCTCAGACCTCTCTACATAATTTGGAGTTAAAGCATAGTCAATGATAGAGAAAGAGAATCAAAAAAGTGTCTACAGAAAAGTAAATGGCGTATAGATGAAAAATAGTGTTTTTGAATAAAAGAGTTTTTTCGCTCAAAAAATAAATAAGTAATTTTTATTTGTCTTATTCACTATTTATTCATTACTTATTTATTTTTATTTGTCTTATTCACATTTAAAGTGCGATAACAAGGAGGTAAGCTACAGACAGGGCCGTCCTGAAGGGGGGGGGGGTACCCTCTTGTAGTTTACCTTCTTTACAAGAAGGCCCTGTCTGAAGCTTACATTCTTTACAAGACAGCCCTGTCTTTAGCAGATGGATGGACAGACAAACAGGGCAACAATGACAACAATGTCTATATGACAGCTTTGGGGAGGACACCCCCCATAAAAGCATTTGAGTTAGCACTTTGAGCAAATTTTGAAATATAGTTGGCAAATTGCAAATATTGTTTTTTCAGGTGTCTCTCTTGGGCAAAAAAATGCATACAATCCCCCATGGAAGACCTCTTTGGGACGGCCCTGGCTACAGAACAAAGTACAATAACAAGAAGGTAAGCTACAGAACAACGTGCAATAATAAGAAGATAAGCTACAGAATATTGCAATCTGTATACAGTAACATTGTTGAATGTTAGTACTTCATTGTTGCATTTTTTTCTTCTTGAGAGACAGACTTGATGAACAAATATTTGTCTATTTTTATAACTTGCTTCCAGCAATAGGCAGAGTATTT